AAGGAAAAAGAAAAAAAATTTTAAGTTTTTTATATTTTTTTTTCCATGTCATTGTTTTTTTTTGTCGTGTTGTCTTTTTTTTCAGGTATGCATCTGATGTGTCAAATTATTTGGACACGTCATCATTTTTCAGTTAATTAACGAGACATGTCACTGGATTTTTAACAGAGGGACTAAATCGGGGTCAAAATGTAAACAATAGGGACCAAATCAGAGATTTTTTGAGTTGAGGGACTAAGTCGGGATCCGTATGATAGTTGAGGGACCAAAATGGGGGTTTAACCTAATAAAAAGCGTGTTGTCCGTGTATTTGACAAAACTAAAATAAATTGAAAATGCTACGTTCATGATACACTAATATATTTTTTAATTTGTCTAATTTGTGTTTTAAATGTACAAGTTAAGGTGTAATAAATATATTTTTTATATTTAATTTATACAAAAAATAATAAATATTAAATTTTATTTTAGTGTTATTATCATGTGAATAATTTTAATTAATTAATTAATTAAATTTAAATTAATTTTTACTATCTTTCTCTATACATTAATTATAAAAGAGTACATTTATTGCACCCTTGAATCACAAGATAAAAAATTCCTATATTTTTTTAATCACTTGTTGGTATGTGTAAAAAGAATTTAATTTTTTTAGATAAAGTGTTAAATTTGAGTTCCTTGGAGTCGAAGTGATTTAGGAATCCTATATAACTTTCAAATATCGGAGATTAATAAAACTAAAAACCCTTTATTATTTATTGTTTTGTGATTACATCAAATATTTTTAAGTTACATCTTCAATTTGGTTCCTGAATTATTATACAGATCCCTTATTTGATCCTTAAACTAAAAACATCCTTGATTTGGTCTTTGAACTATTGTACCGACCCCGATTTGGGCCTTATTGTTTACCAATTTGCCCCAAATAAGTCCTTCCATACAAAAAATGTTGACGTGTTTAGTATTTAATGACGAAAAATAGTAACTTAACGGTAAAAAATAGTAATTTAATGGTAGAAAACAGTATCTTAACGGTCACGTGTCACATTAATAACGAGACACGTTAGTTGTTTTTGTATAGAATGACAAACTTGGGGCAAATTGGTAAACAGTAAAGACCAAATTAGAGATCTGTACAATAGTTTAGGAGCCAAATTAAGAATTTTTTTAGTTCAAAGACCAAATTAAGAATTTTTTTAGTTCAAAGACCAAATTAAGGGTACATACAATAGTTTAGGAACCAAATTGAGGATTTAACCATATCTTTAATTTCTACTAACATTTTAGAAGCTAATGAAGAGCAACTTTCGAAAGAAGGAGAAGCATTTTATGAAAAATTGTGTTTGCATCGATTGCAACTTTTATAACATAAATCTTTTTAGAAATTGGGTAAAAGATACATTAATTAATGAATTTGGTATCTTTGAATCTGGTATTAGATTAGATATTTAAAAAGGTAATAATATGAAAATAATTTTTTAGTATAATTTTCTTATATAATTTTTATACATCATTAAATAAGTAATATTACATATCCTAATAAAGTAAAAAGAACTATGAATCAAATAATACATAAGATTATGTAAAAAAGATATATAAAAAATTTTTTCTCAATCATTTTTCTATCAATAATTACTTATCATAAAATACTATATATGGCAATGTTGATCATGTTGTAAACTACTGTTGAAATAATTTCCACAAAATTTGATGCAAATTAAAATGGTTCCTCTTCATTAAATGTTCCTAAGAAAAACGACAATACAACATTGAAACCGATTAAGCTACCATTAAAGGATGTTACATATTCAAAATATAAATCCACCCCTTTACTCTCAAATCTCAATCCCAACTTGCTTCCAAGTTCCTTCCCCTGCTAGTAAAAAGCCTAAACAATCAAGAGATCACTACCGATGGCAATGGAGAAGCTTTACTTAATCTTGGTTGCCTTGGTAGTCTTCTTGTTGGCTAGCAGGGTAACATCTCAACCTGCTCTTGCTCCTGGTCCGGATAGTCAACCCCTTGATGTGAATTACCTTTTAGATCCAGAGAAGTTTCTTGAAGTTTGTTCACTTTTTAAACACATAACTGATGATAACTGTGAGCAAGCCATTTACGAAACCGTAATTTATAGTACAAAAGAAATTATCACCAAGGACTGTTGCAAGCAGCTTGTTTCTTTCGGGCGTAAATGTTTTAAAGCCTATGTGAATTCACTGAAGTATACATCATTATCGGGCACTACTGGAGCTGTTGTGGACATGCACAAGGTGGAGTCAAGTGGAGCAGATGTTTTGCGTATGGGGGATGAAGTTTATTATCTGTGCACTTTAAAAATCAAAGAATAATACACAATTGCTCCTTCCTCTTCTAAATAAGACTTGTTCCTTCCTTTCTCTTTTCTTATGGTATTTGTCTATTATCCATTCTCATAATAATAATAATAATAATAATAATAATAACAATAATAATAATTAAAAATTAATAAGAATAATACACAATTGCTCCTTTTACTTTCTCTTTTCTTATGGTATTTGTCTATTATCCATTCTCATAATAATAATAATAATTAGAAATTAATCTATAATGTTTCTTTTACAATTTACTGTGCCCAAAGGAAAAAACATCGTGACTTACATGATAACAAATTTTTAGGGGCTTAATTGAATTGTGTACAACTTTCAGGGACTTGTTGTGTGATTTTCCTTTCTGTGTACAAGCTAGTCCTAGTCCGTGAATGCCTCACTTCTGGGCTCCGGATCCATCCCTCTGGTTGCAGCTAAGAGTATATAATTAATAATTCCACAATTTCATGGTAGTTATGACCGCCGGCCATCATCTCTTTGGTAGCTTTAGCCGGAATCCGTAAATACCTCTATCTGGGTATGTCCCATGATCGAACTCCAGCTCCCCTCCAAACCCAATAGGTAGGTCCCCAGCACACCGTCCGCCATCAATCGGAAACCCACCTTCACCAAGGAACCCAGCTAACCCAGAAACCATTTACAGCTTTTATTATTGCAATTCAAATTCAGGTGCATTTCTCTTGCGCCAATTTTAATATTCCTCCTATTTGCTTGATTCTGTGCTGGGCTATGGATGTTTTGTTGTAGGTTTCTGGTCTCTGTTTTACTCCTATTTGCTTCCTTCATAGACCAATTTATGATGTCTTCACTCTTGCATTTGTGCAGTAACATTGATCTTACTTTCAATTTTGCACTTTTTTAGTGATACTTTAGGCACTGATATCATGTCATGGCAAAGGTTTTCTAGTAGAATCACCCTCAATAATTTGAAAAATCTCGGGCGCTCCTCTCATGAATCCAGGTGAACATTTTGTATTGCTAATAATAAAGTACAGACCTTTACTATCTATGTGTTTCTTGTCTTGATAAGAAAAACATAGGTAAACTTAGAGCTAAAGAAATAGGAGTGGATTTTTCTTTTAGGAGAAGGCAATTTACTTTTCATTCGAAACTATGCCCCATAAAGTGGCATACAACTACACTGGGCATACCCTGGCACACTTCATCCATTTATCTCCCAGTGAACAAGCTCAAATGATAAAAGATAAGATTTACTACAGAGTTTACACTTCCACATACTCCAGTAAACAACCATGTGTTCCTCTCATACCATAGGGAATATATAGTTGTTGCAAATGCAACCTTCCTTCAAATAGCTAGCGCTCCTGTTCCTTCCTTTTGTTTCCTGCTGTAACCAAGACCATTCAGCACCCCATTGCAGTGGAATATGATTAACCCCTATAGGCTGTAAGATTAAGAACCACAGGCCTCATTGCAGAAAATGCAACAGAAATGAGAATGGATTTCTTCATAACTTTCCTCTATTTTTAATTTTTGAAGAATGTGGATTGGATAAATTGAGCTGTTATGGGTTTTGTTTTTGGCTGATAAATCTTCATTTTTTTTTTTTTCTGGTCTAGGTTTGTTCCTAATGTCTTATGTCCAACGTATTACTTGCTCAAAGCCTCAACTGAGTCCAGGCAATGTTCTCACCATGATGCTTAGAGTCTAATGCCAAGATGTGAATTTAGCATCGGATCATCTAAATTTAGCATCGGATCATCTAATAAGTCTTTTGGTTTCTGTCCTTTTTGCCATCAATGCATTTGGAGATCTCCTTCCTTGCTAGGCATTCAACAGCATTTTTCTTCTCTTGCTTTGATGGAACAGAAATCAAGAAAGATGCTCTTATACCTAACAGCACTGGTTGGACTTACTTATGCAGCTGTCCCTTTGTACCGGAGATTCTGCCAAGCTACTGGGTATGGGGGTACCATCCAACGTCATGAGGTGAGGTTGAGATGATAATTTTTCATTTTTTTCTATGTTGTTGCTTTTAATTACATTGCCAATTTATTCTTCCCAGATTTGTTCACAATACAACCTTGTTGTCTTTTAGACTGTTGAAGAAAAGATTGCTAGGCATGCAAAAGATGGAACAATCACAACCAGGAGCACTTTCTGGGCCTCAGATGTAAGGGCTTATTTAAAACCTTGCCTTTGGTTATTTAGTGGTGATTCTATTTTGAGATATAGTTCTTGTATAACTTTTGGTTTTCAACTTTTTTGGACTATTCTGTTCTACATGTGGCATACCAAACTAAGTGGACTTTATTTATACCAGACTTTATCTCATAACAAATGTTGATTAGATCTTTCTCCATACCCAAACTATTAGAATAGTAGGATTTCTAGGAGTGATTTTCTGAAGATTAAAATTTTTTCTTTTGGGTGTGGAGATGAGCTTTATGGGCATCAAAGTTCCAACTGTATGCTAGAATATAGTATGTTGATTGTTGAGAAGAAGTTGGAAAACAAAGATAAGGATATATTCCTAAGTGCCAAGACTTGATTTCTTTAGTATTTAGCAAACTTCTACATAAACTGTCCTAGGATGTGCATCCCTAAAGTCAAAGTGGATATCATTTTTTTCTAACTTTTAATGTTGCACTTTTTTGGCCTCTC